CCCAGGAGTTGGAGGTTGCTGTGAGCTGTAATGCCACGGCACTCTGCCCAGGGGGACAGCTTGAGGCTCTGTCTCAAAAAAATAAATAAATAAATAAATAAATAAATAAAAAGTTCTTATTCTGACTGTGCTTGGTTTGGCCTTTGTCAGTTAACATGGAATGATCACATACACACATGGTCAGTCTCTTTCTAATAAAAATGTTGAGAGGTGAAGGGCTCACTCCCTGACATCAAGGAATCTCAAATCAAGGTTAGGTTGCTTGAATGCCCATGCCCAGGGGAGCAGAACTCTCAGAGAGCCTCACATTGATCCTATCAGGGTGGTTTCGTGCCTCCTAGCCAACCAGCCCAAATAGGCCCCCTGTTCTGGCTGTTCTGGGTGTTACAGAGCTTAAGGAAGCAGGAGCTCTGAGCCATGAAGCTCAGGGGGCTCTGCCAGAGGGGCAGCACCCAGCCAACAGGCTGGACAAGACACTGCTGTCCCCAGATGCTGCCCAGGTGTGCAATCACATAGAACCTGCATGGCCACCTGCACTCAGCTACTGCCAGTTATGCCAACAGAAAATGCTCTGCTTAATCTTTGCTAGAAAGGGCGAGTAGAAGGAGGAAATGTACTCTACTGCTTTGATCCCTGACTCCCAGACCAGTACTGGTCCATGGCCTGTAGGAACTGGACCACACAGCAGGAGATGAGTGGCAGGTGGAGCGAAGCCTCTTCTGTATTTACGACCCCTCCCTATTGCTTACATCACCATCGGAGCTCCGCCTCCCATCACATCAGTGGCAGCGTTAGATTCTCATAGGGATGCGGACCTTACCGTAAATTGCACATGTGAGGGATCTAGGTCGGGTGCTCCTTATGAGAATCTAAGCCCTATTCCCCAGCCCCCTGCCCTGCACCTCCCATGAAACTGATTCCTGCTGCTGAAAAGGTTGGGGACTGCTGCTCTTCTATTGGCAGTTAGCAAATACCCACTGCATTTCTTTCTTTTTCCTTTTAATCAATTATTGTAACAATACTGAACATGAGATCTATGCGCCTACATTTTTAAGCATACACTGTTGTTGACTTTAGGTACAATTTGTGCATTTATTTTATCACTTTAAGATTGTATTTAGTAAGAAAGGCTGCAGGATTGGCTCGGCACCTGTAGCTCAGTGGCTAGGGTGCCAGCCACATACACTGGAGCTGGGGGGTTCAGACCCAGCCTGGGCCTACCAAGCAACAGTGACAGCTACAACCAAAAAATATCCGGCCATTGTGGCGGGCGCCTGTAGTCCCAACTACTTGGGAGGCTGAGGCAGGAGAATCGCTTAAGCCCAAGAGTTTGGAGTTGCTGTGAGCTGTGATGTCACATCACTCTACCGAGGGCGACATAGACAGACTCTGTCTCAACAAAAAAAATAAGAAAGAAAGTCTGCAGGATCCAAATCCTCTCTGTCTCAGCTGCAGGGAAAGTTTGAGAACAAGGAGCTCAGTGTAGCCTGTTTGCTGAGAGCAAAAGGAAGCCAGCCCGGAAGTCTGTTGTGGGAAGTCAAGCAGGGCAAGGGTGGAGAAACAGGGCAGTTTCCCCAGGTTTTGTAAGCCAGTCCTCTACCTTCTCACCCTGAAATATTCTGGGAACCCTAACCCCTTCCCCAAATTCACATGACACACTATACAAACTGGTTAAAGCCAGATATTGATAATTAGATTATTAGCTGCCGAGTGTCTGCAAAAGCCATGAATACTGACTGTTGGTCACCAGTGTTTGCTCTCTTTCACTTTCTTTTTAGAAACAAACACATCCTAGAGAACCCACTTATACAACCAGCCCTACTTATTCAGCGTAGATTCATGAAACCAAAGAGAACATATACAGTGTCAATATGCATGCATTTGATATTTCACCACTGGACTATGTGATAGGTAGAAAGAAGAGGTAGCTTATAAAAATGGCTCTGCAAGATCATTTTTATTAATACAACATTACACTTTAGTTTTGTTTTGTTTTCTTTCTTTCTTTTTTTTTTTTTTTTTGAGACAGAATCTCAAGCTGTCACCCAAGGTAGAGTGCTGTGGCGTCACAGCTCACAGCAACCTCCAACTCTTGGGCCTAAGCGATTCTCTTGCCTCAGCCTCCCCAAGTAGCTGGGACTACAGGTGCCACAATGCCTGGCTAGGTTTTTTGTTGTTGTTGTCATTGTTATTTTGGCAGGCCCAGGCAGGATTTGAACCCACCAGCTCCAGCATATGTGGCTGGCACTCTAGCCACTTAGGCTACAGCTGCGGAGCCATACACTTTAGTTTTTAAGTTCTTTCCTTCCAAGCAATTGGTGTTAATAATATAGGTGTCTGTCTCCTTGTGTCACCATAGATGATAGAGGTTTAGCAATTTAATGACAGACAAGGGAGGAAATATGTTTGCAGTGTTCACTTAAAGGCCAAAGGAATTGTGTTTTAATAGAAAAATAAGCTGCACCTGATCAGTGCTTTGCAGTCCTTTGAGGAGAGGAGGTTCCAGGCTGGTTCTTGGTTCCAGGCCAGTTTGCTGCCATATCAACCATGTGTTTGGTCTGTGGGAAAATGTGTTCTTTGTCAGCTGACTGGGACACCTCCAGCCCAAGCTGCCTTGGTTCCCAGAGAATGCCTGCATTATTCTCTTTAGTTTAAAGGAACGAAGCAATGACTTTCTCTTCCAAAGGGACGCAGCGTGCAATAAATACGATCAAGAAGAACAAGCCAATTTCTGGAACTGGGTTAGGGAAATGGAAACCCAGACCAATGAGGGGAATCTGACTGATGTCTCCCACATCTTTTTCAGATTTACATGAGCCCAGAGGTAATCCTATGCAGGGGCCATTCAACCAAAGCAGATATCTACAGCCTGGGGGCCACACTCATCCACATGCAGACGGGTACCCCACCCTGGGTGAAGCGCTACCCTCGCTCAGCCTACCCCTCCTACCTGTACATAGTAAGTGGGCTCAACCTGGGCTGGGGCTGGGGGGTGACTTCCACCTGCTGTGGGAGGGGGAGGGGGCTGTCCTTTGTCTGAAACACTTTGTTCCCCAAGCCCCAGGCCATGGACCTGTTAGGAATGAGGTCACACAGAAGGAGGTGAGCAGTGGGTGAGCCCGCAAGGCTGCGTCTGTATTTACAGCCGCTCTCCATCACTCGCATCACTGTCTGAGCTCCACCTCCTGTCAGATCAGCTGCAGCGTTAGATTCTCAGAGGAGCTCAAACCCTGCTGTAAAGGGCACATGAGAGGGATCTGGGTCATGCACTCCTCATGAGAATCTAATCCCCCTCCCAACCCCTTGGGAAAATTGTCTTCCATGAAACTGGCCCCTGGTGCCAAAAAGTTTGGAGACCACTGCACTGATGCACATGGTGGTGAAATAGTGACCCATGAGAGGCCGCTGCATGTTCTTCCCCCATGGAGGGAAGCTCCTTTCTTACAAAGAAAATACTGCTATTCTAATGGGAACTCACTACATTAAGCATGGGTTGTATCACATTCCTTTATATACGTAATAATAAAAGACCACTCAGTAGCATAAATCTTTCAGCCGATGAAATTATATATGTTCTTCGAATACTTATTGTTTATTATTATTACTATTTTTTTTTTTGAGACAGAGACTCAAGTTGTCCCCCTGGGTAGAGTGCCATGGCATCATAGCTCACAGCAACCTCCAACTCCTGGGCTCAAGCGAGTCTCCTGCCTCTGCCTCCCAAGTAGCTGGGACCACAGGCACCAGCCACAATGCCTGGCTATTTTTTGGTTGCAGCCATCATTGTTGTTTGGCAGGCCTGAGCTGGATTCCAACCTGCCACCTTAGGTGTATGTGGCTGGCACCTTAGCCACTTGAGCCACAGGCGCCAAGCCATTATTATTATTTTTTAAGATGGAGTCTGACTCTGTTACCCTGGGTAGAGTGCTGTGGCGTCATCATAGTCCATAGCAACCTCAAACTCTGGGGGACTCAAGTGATCCTCTTACCTCAGCCTTCTAAGTAGCTATGACCATAGGTGCCCACCATAATTCCTGGCTAGATTTTTTTTTTTTTTAATTTTTAGTAGGGATGGGGGAGAGGTGTCCCACTCTTGCTCAGGCCGGTCTCAACTCGCGAGCTCAGGCAATCCACCTTCCTCAGCCTCCCAGAATGCTAGGATTACAGGCACGAGCCACTGTGCCCTGCCGGAACACTTTTTTTTTTTTTTTTTTTTTTAAAGATGTTAAATTACTGCTCTCCATACCAGCGTAGCTTGTAGTAGAACATGCAACTTCCATTTCATCATGGACAGATTCAGGAGCAGACACTCTACCATTACTGCCTAGTGACCTTTCGGCCACGGATAGGAAGCTGTCCCTGATATTCAGACCTAGCCTATGCCTTTGACAGCACTAAACCAAAAGATGGGTTTAACTCGGTGTCTTCAGGAAATCAGAGGGAAGCTTGTGTAGGGGGATGAGCCTTATTGGCCACAGGGCAAGTGGTGGGAAGCAAATCACTTTCCAGGTGTCTGTTATGCTGCCGTGTGTACTGCAGCTGCTAAGAGACCTGGTTTATTGACAGATCCACAAACAAGCGCCTCCACTGGAAGACATAGCAGAAGACTGCAGCCCAGGCATGAGGGAGCTGATAGAGGCTGCCCTGGAGAGGAACCCCAACCACCGCCCGAGAGCAGCAGATTTACTGAAACACGAGGCCCTGAACCCCCCCAGGGAGGACCAGCCACGCTGTCAGAGCCTGGACTCTGCCCTCTTTGAGCGCAAGAGGCTGCAGAGTCGGAAGGAACTGGAGCTTCCTGAGAACATTGCTGGTAGGAACAACGCCCTGCCGTGCTCAGTGCCTTTTTCTTTCATTTTCTTTTCTCATCACGCCTCTGATGGAGTCCATCAAATCACTTGGGAAAAGAGGATATGATTTCTTGAGTACCATATGTTGTTGGAGAAATTTTAGCAAGAATATTTGTAAAAGTAGTTTTAAAATATTTGCAAAAAATGTGTAAGATAGTTGTAAAAATTTTTTTTGAAGTATTTTAACTCCCCTCAACCAAAAAAAAAAAAAAGTGGCTCATTTGCCACCAAATGATAAGAGATTTTCAGTCCAAGTTTAGGCACCGTAGTCATCAGAAATTGCCTCTGACGTGCCTTTTGAAAACTTGCTCTATTGCAACATTTGGTTGTAAAAGCAAATTGAGCATGACTGTTTTTGCTGTCGGTAAAGTATGAGGTTTTTGCTGAATTCACTTATGGTAGGAAACTCCAGTCGTTGGCTGGAAACGTCATGGCACTGCCCTGCACAGATAAAATTCTGATTTTGAAAAGTCAACTTGCATGTCTGTCCTCCTCAGCTTAAAAAATCCCTTTGCCAGCTATGAATCTTTCCCACTTAGGAAACTCAGCACGCATTCCAGGAGCATTGACTATACATGGAGAGGGGTTTCCATTTTTATTAAAAATCTGTGGCATTCTTAATCCATTTAGCTCCAAAGCCAAATGTCCAGCCTGGAACACTTGTTTCCACTTCTTCTCTGGCCTTTCTGTATTTAAAGAGAACCATCTGGGCTGTTGGAAAATATGTCAGGATTTCTAACTAATTTCTTACCTTCACTGACTCCTGGTTTGAAGTCTTTGGCTTAGATGTCATATTGCGTGAACTGGCCCATGGTGCTCAAAGATGAAGCTTTAGAACTTAAAGACTATTTCTTTGCAGACAGGACAGTTATTTGACATGTTCCTGCAACTTCGTTTCTTATCTTTTCAATGTTTCTCTTTTCAGATTCTTCATGCACGGGAAGCACAGAGGAATCTGAGATGCTGAAGAGACAACGCTCTCTCTACATAGACCTTGGAGCCCTGGCTGGCTATTTCAATCTCGTTCGGGGCCCACCAACGCTTGAATATGGCTGACCGATGATACGATTGCTCTAAATTAGGACAGCATCTGTCTTCCTCCTCCGACTCTATACGGTGGAGCTGTACAGTGAATGAGGATGTTTATTGGGGGACAGTGTGGGCTCCGATGACTCATGAATGTGACTACTCCAGATGGCCCCCGGGTCTTTGATTTGTGAAGCTACTTTAATGGAATTCACCAGGTCTCAAAGTTCTCATTTCTCAGGTGGTAGGACTCCAAGGAAAGACACTGAACGTTCACAGAAGGACCATTTCTGCTGACTGATTCCGTTCACTATGCACTTTCCTCAAAATTCAAAAAATGCCAATCATGAGGATAATAGCCGAAATTACTGTTCTTGGTTCTTATTTAAGTATAAGGTCTTCATTTAACTCAGACTAGTTTTGTATATATTGGTGTATATTATCCAGTGTATTATATAATCCTTTGAGCCTTTGTTGATAGATCCTTGTATAATTGAATTCATTATGTTTTGGGTGACTAGAACAACTTCAATATTGTACCAACATGCTGGACTAGTGCCTTCAGAATGGCTAACTGATGAATTAGGCGTCATCTGTCAGCAGGCCACTAGTGACAGTTTTGGTTTATGTTCCTATGGAAACATTTTGTACTGTACATGCTATGCTTAAAACATTCAAGCCGTGTCTTTGAATGTGGATAAAACTGTGTAAACCACATCATTTCTGTACATCCCTAAGGATGATAATGTGACTTTTCAGAAAAATAAAAATTTTGTAAATTACCAGCGATGCGACTTTCATAATTCTCATGATTCTATTTTCTTTTAAGCATTTGTATATCAAAATAGCATACTGTGTATGTTGCATATCAAATGCCTCCAAGACTCTTTCTTACATATAGATATTTAACATTGTAAAATACGTGAGTAGTCCTGTGGAAAGTATGATTTTACATTTTGCTAATGAAACGCAACACTTTTGTCCAACGCGATGGGCCGAATCAACTGAATAAATTCTGTATTTTGTCTTAATTCTTGGAAAGAGTGTGATTTCCAAATGGGACCAGGGGTGGGTTATAGGGGGTGATGTGTAGGTTGCACCAACTAGCAGGCTACAAATACCAGGAGTTTTGTAAATTGCATGTTCCTCTTGCTGTTGTATAAAGCCATTTTTGTCAGCTGGAATGGCTTGGGACATTGACATTGAAGAATAATTGTGAGCTACTGGTTTGGGGTAAGTGTGGGGTTTTTTTGCATCTTGTTTTATGCATTTCTACTTCCCTTGAATCTATGCTTGGATGTTCTTTGTCTACTACTATTTGGCAAACTGACCCCTAACTTGCCTTTGTGTAAGGTAGGTTTAAATCACACACACCCTCTCTCCCCTCTCCCCTCCTCTCTCCTTCTCTCTCTCCCTCTCTCTCTCCTCTTTTCTCTTTTCTTTTTCTCTCCTCCTTCATGCTGCTCTGCAGCCTCCCTCTCCCACCAATAAAGACCTTTCGTACAAAAAAATAAATTAATTAATCACAGGCACCCAATCTAGTGAAAGCTGCCGTATGGAAGCATCGTCGGTCATCCACTTAGCGCACAGCATTTAACACTTCTACCCGAGTTACAGCAGCAGCCCTTGTAATCCTTGTAAACTGTGGGGGTGGTCCAGAAAATATCCAGCCACGCAATATGGAAAAATAGAGCCACGGGTGGCTGGGTATTTTCTGGACAGCCCTTAGACACATGAAGTAGGCCTTGTCATTTCCCCCTTTTGTCTTTGGAGAGGGAAACTCAGGCATAAGGAGAGCAGATAACTTCATGGTCAAGGTCACAAAGCAATCAAAGAGAGTGGTGTTTGGGCCTGGGCTCTTCTGACTCCAACACTGATGCTCTACCTCAAATGATGCAGCTTGTAAGTCAGAGTCCGTCCTAAGGGAGTGAGCGTCCATGCTCCTCTGGGCTTCAGGCCCCCAGGTGAGGGCAGAAGTGCATTTCATGAAGCTTCAGCCACAGGGGTCCTCGCTTCTATCAGCCACGGCCCGGCTTTGTGTCTGATCTCATATCGCCCCACCTTAGGTGCAACCAAACTTGGCCCAGCTCTGGTAAAGGGACACGGCAGTTTGATGATTTTCATGAAAAATGCATCTAGTCAATGTGAGTTGAATTCCAGTTTGGAACTGGAGAAAAGTGTTCCTTTAAAATAAATTACAACTCTCATGGAGAGATCTGGGGATCTTTGCTAAGAGCTGGTCTGCAGTGCTGGTGGTCATGAGGCCACAGAGGGAAGCGGTCATGAGAGAGAGGTATGAGGGGAAGTTCATGGCCGAGACCTGTGCCCTAAGGACTTGAAGAGCTGTCCACCTGGGAGGCCAAGAGTTGCACCTGGAGACAGAGTCATCTGCAGAGGAGCAAGAAAGCCTCAAGTGGGTTTCTAGGGAATGTATTGCGTGCTTCCTGCTGAAAAGACTGTTAGGCTTGAGGGTAGCTGGTACAGAATTCTCACATCCTAAAGGGAGCTGCCACCAACCTTCATAATTCCCACTGCAGGTAGAACCCCCCCCCCAGCCCACCCCAGCCGCTGGTGGTGCGGGGGCGATGGGATGCGTTGTGGATGATAGACAGAGTCTTTTCTGCTCAAGCCTTAGAGGTGAACTTGCCTAAGCTCCACATTAGATAATGGGAAGAAGAATGAACCTGTTTGCTGGAGGTCAGGAGGCCTCACCTTCTAATCTTCACTTTTCCCCTGTATTATTTGCTTTGAGGTTTGTAGAATAACCAGAAACAGAGGATGAAGACTGACTATCAGGAATCCGCTGGTTCTAGTGGGAATTTCCCCACCCTTGGAGAGATGGCTCCCACCTGGGGACTAGCCAGTGCCTCTCTGCACCTCCAGGTGATGTCTGCCCCGTCAATGAGTGCCACAGTGGGACTTAAAATTGACTCCGTCAGTCCCCCAGGGGTTCTCCCTGACGGGAGCTCACTGTCTGTTATTGACAGTAGATTTCTATGGTGCGTAGCTCAATATGAAAGTTCGTGCTTTCTGGATGACCCAGAGGATTTTTTTCCCCATAGGTCTGCAGTATGGTTAGGAGTAAAGCCAGGAGGGCTTGTGCCCAGCCAGGAGAGGAGGCCTATTAATGGAGAGTTGAAGACTTATGGTACCAACTCTGGGCACAGAATCGTGCGAGGCCCTACAGGGACACAAGTAAGAGAAGGTCCTAGCCCCCTTACTTTTCTAGTCCTGGCTGAAAGGAAGGATGTTCCATTTTGGAATTGTTGGAATTGTGAAAAGTTTCTTTGCTTTAATTGGCATCCCCATGTGTCTCCAGAAAGATTTTTGAACCAGCGTTTACACGGCCCAAAGCATACCTTTTGTGTATGAGCTGGCTTTTAAATGTCTATCGGATCTCCAATACCTAAGAAAACATTGATTACAATAATATGGTTTGGGCACCAACATCAGGTTTCAAAAACTTGCTTTGGCTGGAGAGAGGAGCGATGCAAAGTAGCCACCACTTACCAAGCACTTTTATACTAATCTGTACACACCCTTATTGGAGTTTGTGCTCAGCTCTCTCTGGGGAGTTTGTGCAGATGTGAGTGGAGAGAGAATCATGTTTCTACTCTGCTGAGCAAAGGTCCAAAGCCCCAAGAGCTGCACCTTCAAGAGCTGAAACTTGAACTACAGATTTCCTCCCACATTGCCCATGTTTGGCCTTGATAGGGGAAGTTTGTCGTGTCACAGTCTGAGAGATGACCATTCATAGCTAGAACACATAAAATCAGAGGGTGTGCTGCCTTTATTTTCAGTACGGGAATCACTTGTGAGGACTTGGCCAATTCTGAGACATCTGCTTCACCATCTATTATAGAACCAGAGGTGATAAGAGCTTGCTCTTTGGCTGCCTGGAGTGCAACAGCTGGTTTAATGAGATCCTGTTCATTCTCCCGGACTGTACGAGCGAGGCCAACTGGAAATTACAATCAATGAGTCATCGGCTAAGAGCACAGCGTCCACTCTACGTGGAGATGCCCTGAGTAGGCCTAGTAATCGTATCATTATACAAATAGCACTCAAGATCGGAAGAGATATGGCATTGGCCTCTACCATGTGGCTCTTATGATCATTTTCTTCAATTCATTAATGTTAAATGTTCTCTCTATGGAGCTTAATATAATTCAGCTTCATCTTTCCCATGTGAATGGAGAATTCCAGAGCATTTTATTGGAACACATCTCCATAGGGGTCCACTTATAAATTCTAATAGACTTGACCCTTTTCAGCCTAATTCACAGGCTTGCAAGGGATCAAGGGAGATGAGAAGGAAAAAGGATGTTTTCAGCAAAAGGATATTTTCTACAATTCCAAAATGGAACTCAAGAAAATTTAGAGCTAGGTGTGAAGCTGACTTCTGGTTCAATCCTGCTTTTTGAGGATGTGTGGGGTGGCAAATCCACAGGGTGAATGGAGAGAGCCTCAGGATGACAACAGCTGGCAGCAGGGAGGTGGTTTGCCAACTCCTGGGCTTCCGTGAAAAGGAAATGGCTTAACCTCCACCGACACGCACGACTCCCCTCTACCTACCTGCTTAGGTGTTTCTTCCGATCAGAAATTTGCATGTCGCCGAAGTTTTGCCCCTAATAGGGCAGAGAGCTAAGAGCTTCCTCACAGCCTAAAAGGCTCCCCCTATCTCTCACAGCTTTCCTTGTGTGGACTTATTTCTGAGTCCTTGCCAGGCCCAGCGAGCAAGAAAGCACCAATTGTTTCTATCTTAATTAAATTACTTAGAAAAGAAAGAGCAAGAACAAGATCATTAACTCAGATTTTCTCACCGAAATCAAGAGTTCCATTTTGGGGGCTGCCAGCCAGCGAGGACAGAAAAGATCTGGCACGTGCCATTCTTGTTCGGCTCCTCATCCTCTTCCTCTCCCTCTGGACACCCACCCCTTATTCCCCAGTACCACGCTCCAGGAGCAGTTGCTGCGAGCCAAGATAGTTGGTATACACACAAACATATGTGATTACATAACACCCTTCTTTAAACAACAACAAAGTACACATGGTAGCCTAATCTATACATGGTTTTAAACATGTATAGATTAAACCAAAACATCTCTTTTTTTTTTTTTGACAGAATATTTCCTAAGGACTACAGGAAGAAACTGCCTTTCATAAGAGCAATCCCTTAGCACGAGCCCTGCTTTGTAGAGAAAACCATTTCTGCCCCGAGACGGGAGGTTCTCATTTGGTATTTCTTTCTTCCTGCAGAAATTGAGAGGTGGCGGAACATGATGGCCTTTCTGCTTTCTTCTAGATACTGATTCATTGTTCAGGAGGAGAAATAGAATGGCAATAAATTTGTCCATGTGCCAAGGGTCCACACTGAACCGTTTCCAGAAGAGGGATGTGAACCAAAGCCCTTGACTTCTAACCTCAGGATTTGGCCCCTAGATCAAACTACTGTTTGCTGTTTACTATTTCCTTTTGGAGTCTCGATGGCCTGGGACATCCCAGAGCCAAAGTTTATCCTTACATTAGCTTTTGAGTGTGGAAAATTGATAGACGTTATCTGGCTAGACTGATCAAGTTTTCTTTCCATTGATAGCAAAAGATGGGAACCTGACTTAAGTTGATGCCGTGAGTTACGCTATCGGTGGATAATAATAAGCTCTGGGGGAAAGGATGGAGGGAAGGAGAGATTCTCTGCATGGAGACAAACTCAAGGTGATAGTAAAGAATTGATGGTGTTGGCTGCAAAAAAATAAAGTTATGAGTTGCTCGTTTAAGTTAACGATGAGATAGAACGTTGCTATGCCAGCCATGTGCTCCAGAACCGTTGGGCACAGTTATGGGTAGATACAGAGTCATATTCCAGGGAGCTCACTTTATGGGACACACACCCCTCTTTTTTTTTTTTTTTTTGAGACAGAGGAGCAAGCTGTCCCCCTGGGTAGAGTGCCGTGGCATTACAGCTCACAGCAACCTCCAACTCCTG